AAAATACATATATTTTTAGAAACTTTGCTTATTTGTTAGATTAAATGCCAGCGGCGGACACTTCGTTCACTGCGTGTAATTTGCATACAAGCGAAAAGTGCTCGAAGTATGACGGCTGCGTTGCGGCTTAATTTTCAGTGATAGGCGAGCAAAACGGCGTAGTCATCGGATTAGAGCCTCATTACAAGACTTCAGGCAACATTAACAAGATTAGTAATCATTTAGAGTTATGGAATAGGGGCCTGTAATTTCCTTGACTTTTAAAAAAATTCTACCATAGCAAACAAGCATAGACAGTATCGCATACCTTTACCAACATACACTTCCACCTCTGCTGGGAGTGTACAATTAGGTTACATTTCTTGCAAGTGACATGTACTCTTAGACCAAATAATATGCAACTTAAAGCCATCATGTAACAGCGTTTGACACAGAATATAAGGGTACGGAAACTAAGTAATTATCTCTATTTCCGATTCACAATAACCGTGGTGTTTTATATCCTTGAGGTTGTTTGCAAAGTAAAATAGCGCAGAAATACGCAGTATCCGGGCTCATACCAATGTAGTTTTGTAAGCCACCTGTATGTTTCGCTCCAATGATTGGTGTTCCTGATAGAGAACTAGCTACTTAACTCCCGCACTTTACGAATTGCGTTTACGAATTTTGACACACAGTACGACGAGATTTATATGTGACTTTAACTTCTTTAGATTTTGTTGGATCTCATTATGAATTAAAGAGTAGATTTCGATTAGTTTATTATACTGACTATTTCGTTATTTAATTCTCTTGCTGTCTATACAGCTTTAGAGGTGAACGTTCGTAACAATTAGCTAAAAATTAAGTTGACCCATACGTGTCTGGTTATATTTTATAACGAACATGAGAGCCTTACCTTGTTACTTATGTAGCTAACTTAAAAATGAATCTAAAAATTTTGCGGCAAATCACCACTGTTGCAGTAGCGAAGAATCGTTGTATTTTAGTGTAAGATGGTCTCAACCTTGATTAGTGTTCACACTTGAGATACAGAAACACAAAAGGAGCGTTGCTAGAGTATTGCGCGTTCCTATTCAAACTGAGTATCCTTTATCACATGCCCCAAGGTGTAACGTCTACAGATTTTCAGTCAAAGATTGTGGTCTTTTTGTTGTTGTCGCAGCATGGTACGGCACCAATTGCTTCCTTATGTCAGGCAGACAGCATCAGCTTATGTCTCTTGATGGGGTAGTAGGTGCATAAGTATGTTGCATTACCTAACTTGGCAGCAGAAATACAGTAAACTACAATAGGCTGTGTAGTACTGCTTTGGTTACAGCCGAGATTGTCATATATGTCAGGAGAACTGTGGACACGATGGGTGTGACAGAGTCCACCGGAAGTGTACAGTGTTACTTGTCATCACTGATGTGCACGTGTCAATTAAACTCTTCTACTGCGTCTACACACAAAGTTAATATGTATTCGCATTTCCATAACTGTTACGTTGATAACACAATAATTCATTGCGAATGATTGGAACACATTAAGCACATCCTTTTCTGGAAAAATAAGTTGAACAGATGTAGACAAAACATAAGCTGACCTTAAAAGGGTTATTATGAAGCCATCTTACAGATGACAACGATTATGTCGATTCTCAATTCGTAAGGATGATTAGTGATATTATTTGAAAGAAAGGTAACTTAGCTGCTAGGTTAAAAATCTACGAAAGTATTGTTCCTGCTCTTAACATTTTGGGCCATGAATATGCTCATAAGAAAGCATAGACCAGTGGTAAAGGTTTCATCCGTGCTCACTTTCACAACTACGGGTGTGAATAAGACTATCTTAAGTGATTTGTAGCAAAATATTTGCCCATCTAAATAAAAATTTTCGGCTACTAACCAAAAACGAAATGATAATTACAATACCTTTGAACTTAGTGCAAGCTCTTTTATCTATTGATTAATCCCAAAATTATATAAAGATGGAATAAAATAATAATGCATCCCTCTAGAAAGTTTCCCTTACACCCACGGAATGTCAAGGAATCTCATACCTGGATGAAGTTCAGTTCAGATCAATTTTCAGATGCATGAAATACTGAACTGATGCCACTAAGAACGCTAAGGGTGTCAGCATGGTCTGTAAAATTGGTTACCTTTGTCTGTGCGTCGCTTACTTTGTCAGACAAACTACCGCTAATATAAGCCGAAACACAATGAGAATACACTGCGATTCAGTGAACGAAAATCCGATTTTCCCGTGCCATTGTTTGTGCTCAAAGCGAATCTCGTAAGAATCACACATGGTTAGGGTGTTATGCATATTTAATGTGAAAAAAAATTAGGGAAACAGCCGGAAGCTTTCAGTGCTTTTAGACGAAGGGATTTGTTTGCGCTACAAAATTTAATGATTGTTATAAACGTTTACGGATGTTCAGTTTCACCTCACTAGTTACACAACATGAACGCCCTTGCTGCGGGATAAAAATTAAACCAGCAATTTAGCTATCATAGTCACAAATATTCCCTTGCTATTCGAGCTTGGCAAGTTGGCACTAACTCGAATTACCTATGCCGTACAAAGAAAGAAATGTTTTGAATATATTTCGGCATGAAAAGGCGAATTACCATATAGATTTATTAAAAGAAACCGCCGTATTAAGATGTTACTTGACGTTATCCACTGAAAATGTGCTTGTAAGAGGAAATAACAGACGCACGAGAGAAAAACTATTTGTATCAGCTGACTAGGGAAAGACGATGCAGCTTTCTGTAGATCGATAATCCAAGACATCATGGCCTCTGTGCAGACGCGTCCTAAATGTTTCCACACTGCATATTCCGATCCAGTTCGATAGGTACACAGTTCCTAGAAGTCTGGGTTTCCTCACACTTTTGATAGAACCTTTCCCCAGAATCGCTACAATAAATTGCTTTACCAGTATATCTTCCGTACTGCACACTACCAATTTCTGAAGCATACTGTTTAGTCCGAACTATGCCGCAACAAGTTGTTTACCTTCCAGGTTATCCGCCAATTGATACATATAAGCCTCCTTCTGTCGTGAGTAAAATGAATGCAGTTGTATTCTCAGATTTGGATTCATTGGTGTCAACCTCATAACCATACAGATGCGTTGGTTGTACGAGAACAGTTGCTTTCTAGATAAGGTTAGCAATAATATTCGTTTTCTGACCTACTTTCATTATTGTTCGCCCTGACACATTTCTGCCATATAATTTCTGGTTGAGTCATTATAATTTCAAAGCCTGGAGAATCGTGGCCTGCAGATAAAACCATGCTAACTCAATAACCGTAAATGATTGGTTGGTGCATGTCTTAAAATCTCAGTAACTGTTGTGCAGTACGCTAGTAGTCGCATTAAAGTTTGGGTTATCTAGGAGCTTCAAATAACCCAATTTAGAACTGGAGATCTCATGTGTTGAAAAGGAAGCACCCAAACTCTTATTCCAGCGATCATCTATGACAAGGACGTTATTGGGTGGCTGCTGCATGGGGTTAAGACAATAATGAATATTTAACTAAAAACAGCCCAAAGTCTTTTTACGCCAGACTTAGACAGCTAATGAGTGGATCGGAGCTGATTGCGCCTATCTGGACTTATGTAAGGAATTTGGCTTGAGGAAAACCCCGTGTTCTGATGAAGAGTCATCAGAATTATAGAATACGTTATCATATTCCATAATGCATACTTAATTTTCCTCTTAGTGTTATATGAGTCTGAGGGTTCATAACGTCTACTCATTCAAAATGGTTTGCGCGCTGCAAGTTAAGGTACTCGTGGCGCGTCTAATCCACTGCCGCGTGAACGATTTCTTGCGAGCGTTCTTTTTAGACGTTTTACTATTTGTTGAGTTGCCAAATATATGGCGGGCTATCCGAACAATACATGCTCAGATAGGAGTGCGCATTTGATCCGATATTCAGTCACCTGAGTAAAGGTTTCATTTCCACTTCGCACTGCAAAAGGTCCTCAGGATAAACCACTGTAGTGTTTACGAATACTTATTGGACCACAGCCACTGCAGCGCTCTTCCCATGATAGATTTGGAAGTTCTCGTATGATACTTATAACAATAATTTTCATAAAAATGCAAACAACATTTGAAAATAATGCGGAAAGTGTTTGAGTTGATTAGTGTTTCATACTTTTAAAAAATAACTAGCGCACATAAACTGCGGCACATGGACTACGCTACCTAAACATGGTAGCCAATAAAGTGATACGATCTTAAAATATCGCGAGAACAAGAGGCATGGCTGGAGGGAACCTTAAGCGCAAGTTCAGTTTTACGCAATAATTGAAGCTAATATTAGCATGCGCGTATAACGAGCGTTATCTTTATCGTCAGATTGATGGCGTAAAGATGCAGCGGATGCAGATGAAATTAACTTTCCTTATCACCTCTTCAAACTCTTCGCAACACAAACATGGTGCGTATTCTATTAAAGTAACCACAAACTGCACCTGACAGAAATGTGGCCGTAGTTTTGCCCCCTCCCCGAAATTTTCGGATGGCACATGTTCTTCCAACTAATGTTATTACTCACCCCTTCGCTGCCTTCATTCAAATTGCGATTAATGACACACTACAGCACTTATCTTACGAATAATCCGTGACCAGAAAAGGTAAAGTGTGCAAACTAAATTATACTCTCGGCACACCATCTATAAATTCGAGTCAAGAGTATCTGCAACTATGCTAGCCGAAATGATTATAAGTTCCATTTTAAGGCCCTTTTCCTGAATAGTGGCGTTTCTCTGTGAGTAGCCACAATATGGCCACTCTAACTGACTGAGGTAGAAAGTTGGTTGCACAATATTTTAGGATATTCCATTATGACTATGTACAGATTTCAGTTTTGCGCTAAATAATCGCACAAAGAAAAGTCAAATATACGTATGCTAGTTGGTCCAAACATTGTTGTGCACAATTTATTACCCGGTATAGTGCATTAAAATGTTTCAGCTTAAACGGCGAACTCACGTGCAGGATATTCCTATTTGAATCCTTGGCCTTGATTGCATGGTGCGAACGTATGATGCAAATATATTGAGCCAGATGATGAGAAACAGTTGGAAATAATTTACAATGCCGTAACTAATTTACCACTGGTTATGAAGAATTCACATATAAAAAACAGACTGAAAATAGTTCACTCATTTATAACTTTATTGTGAGCACAGGTTAATGTGACCCTTACCTAGAGTTCGTTCACTTTATTCTTAGTGGAATTAAATTTGATTGGTTGCCGTTGGTGTATGCTTCTTATTGGACACGGACGCAAGCAGCGACTCACTGGAAATGTCAGTATGAAAAATGTTGCAAATTACATGATTTCAAAGTTTTATTTTTGGCGGAAGCTCTCACTTTCAGCCTTCTGAATGTACGGTGCAAGATCAGTCAGGGAATGACGAGCGCACCCTGCACGTTGTTACTCTATGCTCACATTGCACTGGGCAAATACAAGTGGTTTTCCTTGGTGAGATTTATACACACCTCAAAGTTGTTCATCTCCACATTGCATCAAGTGGAACCAGATGAAAAGAAGCTCGTTCCCGCAGGTTTTTTAAGGATTTTAATATTCTTGCAACTATAGCCCATTTGGTTTCTGAGTATATTTAAGCGCGTAGTAGCATATTACAACGATTCTTTAACTTACATTTTGACTTTGCCATGAGTACATGAACAAATCATTAAACTTGTCAGCAAAATTCGCCCGAACATTCTCAATGGAGCAGTCATCCGTAAATTCCCATACCACGTTGCCAACGAGTTCTGTTAATATGCCGTATTGTGTGAATCTCCGGAATAATTTAATGTGTTTGTGGATACTCCACGTAAAACACATAGATGCTTATCCGTCTTTGACATGCTAATGATGAGCGGTTCGCTCTTGAGAACTAAAGCAAGCATAAATGGTTTATTTTCCGCTCTGATTTGGGTGACCCAACTGATATGGCTGAAAAGTGGTATGCGTGCAATAATTTTTGTAAGTCATTCTTGATTTGCTTGCTAGCATTGTCGGAACGTTTAGACCGTATATAATGAAATCACTTGCGATTAGGGTCTGGTCGTCTCGTGGTCGCAAGAATCTCCTAAATACTAATGTCAGGCTGTAGTCCATTTCTGGTGTGGGCATTGAATGACGATAAATAACTACCAAACACACGCATCGTTGTGTCTCAACCGTAGCCTGTGCGCCTGTGCGTATATGAGCAGCGTTTCCAGATCGTTCATCCGTTTCTAATGCAGATCCCTTTGGCGCCATAAAAGTACCCCATCTTCCATTTCTGAGGCTGCAGTTTCGCACAGGTACGTACGACGAATGGCGAGTGCATGCTCAAAAATCTCTGAGTTCAAATGGAATTTTATGTGTATATGCTTGGATTAAATTTCCGTCCTCAAGTCTTCGTTTATGAGACACTGATTGGTACTGAACTCGGAAGGTAGTGAGATGCGAGCCGCGTACTGGAAATCCAATACTCTTGTTGTGATCTGCCTGGATCGAAACATCAATTTTGAAATCCTCTGACCACATCCCCTGTAAATTGATGATCATCGCAGTCACCAGATTGATTGCTGTATGACGTTTTCCAAGGACACTATCTTTGGAAGGTAGCACCACTGCTCCTGGTCATGGGTTATCCTTTGGTGTAATCATCGTTGATCTGCGCATGGTAACGAACAATCCTAACTTCATATTATTTTGCAATCTAAGGCTGCTAGCCTCATATAACTAACGCAATAAACGAAAGATTATCACTTTGTTACAGCGATGCTAGTAAAAGTATTCGGTATGTTGTATAAATGTAGCGTTATTTACGCCGTTAAAATAAGTAGTATGCTTCTAGGACGTATTTGATTTGAACAAAACAGTGGTAAATTTTATTATTTTTTACTATGTAAAAAAAGCCGTTTGGCTTTACTGAACCCACGCGTACACACGAAACTAAACTAAACGCTGTGTATTGCGACCATGCAGCCAAATGTGGTCTAAGTCACTTAGCAGCAAGTATCCGTTCAAAGCAACACAAACACTAAGATCCTGTGAATGCGGACGATGACCTCATTCGGGCTACATTTCCGTCCTAATGTAAACGATGTATGTTTAACTCAGCATCTCAGTTTTGGTATTTGCTTTCCGTCAACCGCTCTGCCAACAGAGCTTCATGGCTGTGTGTGGCTAAACATTTACCTACTGGATTTATGCATTTTAGAATTTGCTAAAGCACTACTAATGGACCTGTGCTGCAGTTATATTTCACCACACGGATAGCAAAAGTTTTTACACGCACCAGATAAAGCCGTGCATAGTGTAGCCATTCCATGCTTCCTGGAAGAATCGATGGAATAAAAATTAACTGAGATTCAAATCCTTACTGCCAGTTTCACTTAATATAAGAAGTCAGACTAGAGAGTTTTGTAAGCTAAGCCAAAAGTATTCCTTTTCTCTCTACTTAACTCCTAATGCATAGATATTATTAAGCAGCTTCTGCCACTTATACCAAAACCTTTCAATAAACCACAACTTTTGAACTAGTAAAGTACTATTGATATTGATCGTTTCCAATACTACAACCCGATCGTCCTTGTGCATTTCTGAGTTTTTCATTTAGAAATACCCGAGAGTGGGTTTGCTGCTCAGTGATACCGGTTGAAGACTGACGCTTCGAACAATAAGTTAAGCGGCTCCGCGAGCAGGGTTTGACACTGGCTAGAAGTCTCAATGTGTTTGGGTTTATCTAGCTTTGATCACATCGAGTACTTTAAAACTAAGCCCAATGACATGCCTTAAGTAGAATACAATTCTGCTGAATTTATGTTAACTCTATGGACGCTTACTCTACCGGTAATATTGCAGCGGCAAATATCACTAGCATTCTTATGATAGACAAGGATTCGATATTTATAACGTATGGGTATATTTATGTACTTTCCATTTAGTACAAGGAATGATATGGTCCAGGAGTTAGGAGTATTTTCAAGGCATCATCTAATGCTTAACCTCGATACCTAGTTAGTTAAACGAATCTTCGGGGGCATGCAAACCAAATGAAAGTCATTAATTATCAACACATGTTATGGTGAGTGTAATAAAATGAATGGCTGATTAAAGTGCTAAGAAAACCAGTTGTTAAGCATTGCACTTACATAAGATTATAAGACCTCGTACGCATCTCCTATTCCACAAGCGAATAATGCTAGCCATATATTATTAATGCTAATGTCAACTTTTTAGTTTTGATAGCCTTGTTGGGCGGAGCCTGGGACACTAGTCGGTAAGCAATGACACGTAAGAAGTGTCAAATACGAGACATTATAGAAGTCGGAGGCGACTGAACGAAAAGTATATTGTGCAGGCTACAAATCTAGGAAGCGAATTAGCCAGAACCAGAAACGGTGCAGTAGGGCACTCACCAAAATCTTTGTGTCAGCTGATGTGCAGTCAGTAAAACAAGTGGATAATTAGAAGGTTAAAACAACCGTAAAATCCAATGTTACAGGATACTGAAAGAGCGTGTTTTCCGGTACACTACAAAGGCCTCCACCTAGAAGGCTGAAGGATGGAAGCATTCAATGGAGCTGTTAGTGGGGAAAACGAGAGTTGAGGATGGGTGGGAATGGTTGCATCAGCTTGAGCAAGGGCTTCCAAATGGGGTGTGTAGCGGAGCTCGCTGGGTCCAGCTTTTGTTAGTGATTATTTATAATGATCGTGTGGACCAGAGTGCATCATCGGTGGGCCGTCGGGGCGGGCTGGTCGGAATGCAAAAAAACTGACTAGTCCAGAAAATAGCCCGACAAGACCTTCCCTTTGCTGCAGACCCGATGGTGCGCTTGGGGGGGTGTCAATCCCCTCACCGCACTTTAGTTCACGGTCCTCGTCCCACAAAGAAATGCAGGTGTCCGCGTCGGCAACGCCTAGCTGGGCGTTTAGGGGCCAATACTTCGTGGCTGTCTGCGGCCGAGTGTGACTGACTTCTTTGGGTCAGGAAGGGGGCCTTGGGTCGGCTGGCGACTCACTAGGGGGTTGTCCTGGCAGGCAGTTCCGGCGGTTGAGTTTCTGGAATGTAGAACTCAGAGGGGTGGGTAAGGGTAGGGTAAGTGGCTTGACACCGGAGAGTTTAAATGGCATGCATGATAAAAGCAAATATGCTCTTAAGGTTTTCAAAATGTTTCGGGATTTTTTCGTTGATTTTGCATAACGTTTATGGATGCGACGCACGATTACCAATACAGACGAAACAGGCATGTAATGGAAATAACCAACGCTTACAAAATCTGAAAAACGGACCAGACGTTTAACCTATCTACCTCGTCGGTCCGTTGCCTGGGGTTGAGGCGGCAGAGGTTGAGGTTCAAGGGGTACGGAGGGTTTCGGGCTATCCAGTGCTCGGGAAGTCACCTCAGGTGCGGGTGCTTGTGCGAAAGCATCAGGATGGGTTGCAAGTAGCTCCTCAAAGAAAGCCACTTTTAGGCGGTAGATGGACACCGTTATTCGGTGACAATCCTGGTCTAAAATAAAATGTTTCGGAGTCCACTGCAGGACATTGAAAGGGCTAGTGTAAGGAGGCTGGAGAGGGCGCGGTAATGCGTCGATGCGGGAGAAGACGTGAGTGCATGTAGAGAGTCCGCTGTGCATTTGCACATCTCTAGTCTGCTCATGGGGCGGAGTCGGGCATAGTGAACGCATGCGTTGAGCTAGGGAGGACGCAAAGTTAGGCGGAGGCATACCCGACGATGCGGGGGAGGAGACGAATTCTTCTGGTAACTTGAGCGTTGTGCCTTAAGCCAGCTTTGCTGTTGCACATTGCAAGTTAGCTAGGGTCGGAGGAGGCGCACAGCGAGGCTTTAAGCTGTCTATGGAAGCGTGCATCTAACGCATTGCCTGCTGGGTGAACCGCTGTGGTATGAATGCAGCGAGTGCCTAAAAAGTTGCAGAACGTATCGAATTGTGAATATTCGAAAGGCGTTCCTCGGTCGGTTGTAATGGTCGATGGGCATCCGTAGTGCGAGATCCAACGGT